AGCATGAACACGGGGGCCTGGGGTTTCGTCCGCAAACTTTGCCTAGGCACGAAGCCCTGCAGCTCCTCTCCGAGCTCCTCCTTGCCCCTTTCTCTTGGAAAGCTGCTTTTTTCGACCCTGAGAGAGTCTGGTGCGGAGTGAAGTTTCAGAGTGTCAAACCTAGCACTGCGGCGCCCGGCTCCGAGCTCAACATGTGAAGATGACAAACCCGGCAACCGAAAGTTACAGGACTCGGGTAGCCTCTCCTGCCTACGACCTTCCCCCGAATGTTGCCGGGAAGTCCACGCAGCAAAGGATGAGCTGCGACCCACGGCCGTCACCTACAGCACCTGCATCAGTGCCTGCCAGGCCCCCTGGAGAGCAAAGTCGAGTCGCTGTTTCCCAAAGGCGGTAGCAGCACCTACCTTTCTTGAAACGGCTTCCTGCAAAGCATCGCAGCTGAAGGATATCGTGCTGCCGTGGTGAAGTGTTCTATGTAGCTCTATTTCTATGGCCTTGCAGGAATTGCAACTATGTCCGTGCAAGCAAATGCTCGTAGTTTGTTGTGCAGCAAGGGGAATGGCGGCTGAGCATCATATACGCGCATGTGTGCCTCACAAGGTAGGAATTGGCAGGTCTTCTCTGAGACAGTCTGTCTCGGTGTGCCAACCTCGCTGGAACATAAACTGGACCTTGGTCGCCCGCCCACCCCGCCCCACCCCCCCAAAGGGTGCCAAAAGCCGGATTCGGGCGCCGGCAACCCCCTGCTCCCAACTAGGGTTTAGGGTTTTTGGGATTAGGGTTTATGTTTAGGGCCGACAACCCCGTGGGGTTGAAAAGACCTGGGAAGTTGAGGGCGTCCGCCTGCGCAGGGACGATGGCGAGACGCCCTGGCAATTTTGGGTTCCATGGCGGAAGGGAACCTCGAGGCCGGCCATGCTCTACGGTGCATCTTTGGCGGGGTGTGTGTGTCCGTCTTTGGAGGAATGGAGAGATGTGTTTGGAGATGGGTGTTCCGTTCTAGGATCCTTTTTAGGTGCCTGCATGTGCCCTCGCTGCGCTTTCCGAGTTCCCACAACATGTATCTGTGAGATGGAAGCCGGCAATAGCTCTGGAACCTGGAGGCTAACATCGTTACACTTGGAGCTGCCACGGCCGCCCTCGCTCGCGCCGGCGAATGGCAGCGAGCTGCGTACCTCTTGGCGGGTTTCGACGAGGCCGTGTGCATTTAACCGATGGCAAAGGTGACCCTACATGTGCAAAGCATGCCATGTAATGTATACTGTTTGGTTGCGATTACTTCCATTCAGAATCAAAGTCACGGTTCCATTCAATCTCAGCAGAAGCTCCGACACCGAACATGCCAGCCCTATGAAACAGCTGAAGTTCAAGATGCGAAGCTTGCCAACCTTATTTTTCATCAGCCGTCTCTTCAACATCGATGCCGTCGAAACTCTACAGCGGCTGCAGGTCTGCAGCTGGACACAGGAAGTGTTGTCTCAAAATGGCCTGTTGCATAGCCCGTCGCACCTTTTGAAGCTTGCCTGACTCTGCGCCATAGAGCCGGATCTAGCACTGCCAAACAATGAAACTGTCGCGCAGCCTCCGAGAACCCTGGAGGTCCACTTGGCCCCCAGTCTCGTGGTCTTCAGCTCCACGATCAAAGCCTGCGAGATGGCAGTATGTCGCTTGACAAGAGTCCTTGGCTGGGCTCAGTTGGGCAATGGTACTGGGTTCCATCATGTGGTGTGAGAGTGTGGCCTTCAATATAAGGCAGGGTTCGGTTGTCTTGTTGTGAACCATAGTTTGAGACCTACTCAAGGGGTAAAGGCTGTCCAGGGTTTGGGGTACAGGAAGTCAGGCAAACAGCAAATCCGTACGTGTCTCAGAGTCCTGCAGTAATTCTCGTCGTACACCAGCTTTGTAAACGAGGACGCAGTCGAATTAAGATCGCCTTCATTTCGGCGGCCAGACTGCAAAGCAGCTTGACGCTATGCCGTGGGAAGTCCAAGCGACTTCACAGCAGACCGATGAAGTCGGCTCCCTTCGCATGAGCTCCGCCATATGGCTATATTGGTAGTTCTCTAAATTAGGGCTCCTTTTTAGGTCCCCAATATAATACGGCACCCGTATGAAAAGGGACCCCAATTTAGAGAACTCTCCATCTAGCAACCGAGCCTCATGAACCAGGCTAGGCCGAGGGGCAGAAAAAGAAAGGGGGCCTGTACTTCACAATATAGAGGCTTGGGGAGTATTATACTACAACTATAGTAAGGAACCACCCAAAAAGTATTGGTAATTATTTCATTTACGGCCCCTTATGGTACCTGGGAGGTTGGCAGCAGGCCCTTGGCCTCTTCAAAGAGCTCTGCCGCCGACGCCTAGAGGCGAGCTGCGCTTTCCGGATTTTTTGAGCCGGGCTATGCGGCCCCGGGGGGTTGATTTAGACAGAGCTTGCCGAATCTGAAAGATTTGTTTCAACCGGGTAGAGGATTGCAATTGGGCAGGGCCTTGCGCATGTGTCCCGCCGTTCGAAGTGCAATACCGCCATAGGTCCAGAAATGATTCTATAGGGCAACTAGCAGGGCGTGGCATGGAGGGTATCGAGATTCGAATGCTCGAAGGCTGACAGCATCGCCTACAGCACCACCCTGCTGCTCGTCTCGAAGCCAGCGTTGCCGGCTTCGGGATTTCCAGTGTAGGTCATGATATGATGAGAATACGATGTGCATTATTTGATGTTTTGGGGTCTCATCACTCCATTGTCCCCGTCGGTCGTGAGAGTATCTTATCACATCTTGCTCTCTCGACAGACGCTTCCCCCTTTTTTGGACATGGCCCTCATAGGCCCAGAAGCAGAAACACCGTAAGCCTTTGCTTGAAGCCTCTGCTTCGCTCTGGCTTGGAAACGGGGATGCCGTGAGTCTCGGGAGAGGGTTCAACGCACCGCAGCAGAAGCTTGCCGAAGCCATCAAACTTCGCGTCCAAACATCCATGCTCCGTTGCTAGGCACATCGTCGCCACCGGAGACTGGCCCCACGCACAGGCTGTCCAAGCAGGGGCACCGAAAGGCTTTCGGCAGCATGGTTGCTTCTCCTCATATCAAGTTTGGCCTTTTCTACGCTTTGCAAGATATCCCGGAAAGGGGTTCATGAAAGTCCTTAGCCGAAATCGCTTGAAAAAGCAAAAAGTACGTGACCGAAGCCTGACGCGCACACATCCCTAAGTCTTCCTTCGACACCAGGCGCTGCTGGCAGAGTGGCCTCTTGAGGCAGGTGTGAATCGGCCTGTGGGATTTTGGTGCAGAACTTGCTTGGCCTGTGGGCCCTACCTGATGCACAGAAGTGCGGCAAGCAGCATATAACCGCTAGCTTCCCTTCAAAGCTTCCATGTCTAACATAGCCTGAAAGAAGAAAAGGATAACATTGGTAATATAGAGCCTAAATAATTACCAATATTATTGTTAGCCTTCCTTGTGTTTAATAATAATAATAATAATACTACAAAGGAGCCCCAAACCCTATTCTAATTATCAAGGCCTCTACAGTCCCTTTTTCGGATCCGGGGAGCTGTCAAAGCTGGCAGGCTGTCGGCTGCAGAGTCGCGCTTGGCGCGGGAGAGAGGCAAAGGGTTGGTCTAAAGCTTTCTTCCAATGACGTCTACGGTACGGCTAGCAGGAAGCGCTCAAGAGCTGCAAGTGCCGCCAAAATTTGCTCTGCGGAAGCAGTGATCTGTATTTGAGGGTCGTGTGACATGGAAGCCGAAGCGTGCTGTTGCCTGATGCATCGGAGTTGAAGCAGCAGACGAACTGTTCGCACTGGTGTTCAGGTCGCATGCGCATGTTCTGATCCAGGTCACAGTTGCCAAGTGTCCCTGGTAGACCGGCCCCCTGATCGAGCGGTACCACCACTTAAATGTGACAGCAGGCTGTAGACTCTGATTGGTGTGCATGGGAAAGAAAGCAGCAGCTCACGTGCTTGGTGTTGCTCTACTGATTCTTCCTGCTCGCACTGCATGTTTGTTCGTGGTTAGTGAGTCGCTTGGTGCTGGAACTTCTGGCACTTGTTTTTCGGAGTGCCTTTCCGGGCCCAAGTTGAAGCTGCCACGAAGACGTGACTCCGCGTAAATTAGTGGGTCCCGTTTAGCCCTTCGCTCCAGGAGCCGGCTTTGGCCAGCCTCCTTGGCCCTGTCTGGCGATGTCGCGGCTTTTCATACAGCGAGCCGTGCCTGCACCTTGCCTACACAAAATGCGGGCATAGCGACACGATGATGTGGTGTGGCCTGCGCTGCTGTTTTTGGAGCTCAGACATGAAGAGGAGGGGAAAGATTAGCACCGATCCATCGTATGTGTCTCGCTTTCGGGCCTAGTTTGTTCGTCCGGCAGCCGTGGGTATGGGTGGAGAGCTAGAGAACATTAGCTGTGAGCGTTTCTTTCGCGGGCGCTTTGCATGTCGAGAGCTAATCAGAGTTTCAAGCTGAGGGTTGGGTTTCCAGAATGAGTGGCTGAAGCCAGGGGCGGTCACTGCGATCAACAATGCAAGGACTAAGCAGGCGGTCCACCAGGGTGCAAGCCATCAGGTTCAAAGTCTCGATGCCAATCTGTGAAGATACAGCTTTTGGTTTGAAGGACAAGCTGTAGGTGCAGGAATGCGCAGACAAAACACGAAGCTTAGGGAATGGACCGTTCCCGTTTATTCCGTTTCAAACGGAAATCCGTCACCGCAGACCCGGCGGCAGCAGCAGGCCAACATGAATTTCATTCGGGAACGACGTCGATGCTGCACCACCAGCATCGTAAAACTTGCCAGACGGCTCAGGCGGCTGGTACCTCCAATGGCCTCCTAGAAGAAACGGCGCCACCTCCAGTCCCAGGCTTTGAGGCAAAAGACGCCCAGACACTTACAACTTAATCCCAGACGTTGCGACAGTTCGAAGTCCTGGACGGCTCAAGAGCAATTCGTCCACAAACTGCTGCAGCTTCTGCAGCTCCGCCTCAAATCTCACATTTGCCACTGCTTGAGGCCGCGATGGAAAGCAGTGGAGTGCCGCCTTGGGAGTCCTGGCTCGCATCCCCGAGGCTTGGACGGTCTTTGCTTCAGGGTTTAGGGATTGGCGTTTAGGTTTTGGGTTTTAGGGTTTAGGGTTTAGGCGTCGGGTACAGGTTGAGGGTGATTGGGACGGTGCATGGAGACAGGCTGAAGCCCCACTCTGAAATCCGTTTCTCCAAGCTTGGTTTGTGAGAGTTCTTAAAGTGGTGGATGGCTCCGGGTTGATAGTCACCATGACGAGGCTGTAGCTCCCCCTACCCTGACACAGAGAACAGTAGGATACCACGCAAGTCCCATCTGTGGCCTGAGATGGTATGCAAGCGAGTTGGGAGGCGTTGGTTCAAGCGTCCGCCAGAGATTTGCTTGAGTGCAGCAAGCCTTCTTGCCACTGCAGTGCAGCTGTCGTGACACCCGAAGTCGGAAAAAACAAAAAACTATAATCAGGATCCTACTATTTAGGGTACTACATTAGGGTACCCTAATTTTCGGAAACTCCCAAAGATGTTTGCGAGGTGGCCTTGCAGCCGACGGTGATCAGCCTGAACTCCGCCCTTGCGGCATACGAAGAGACAGCTCAGTGGCCACGCGCCTGCGAGCTGCTCCGAGGCAACGTAAAACCCAGCCCTCTGCAGACGGACAGGTTGCCTCTCATTATAATCGAGCTTGATCACTTAGAATATAAAGTCCACAAACTAGGATGGTGAGCTTTCAATGACGTGACGTGAAGCACTCGGTCCAGCTCGGGATCCAGCTTGTGTAGTAGTTTTGATGGCCACGACCCCCTTATTCAGCAAATGGATTGACATGATGTCTCGACAGGGTGCAGACCAATCGTCGACCGCATCTCTTACAACACTGTTGCCCGCCTGCAAATGCTTCATGTTCATGCGAGCAGGGCTGTAAGGCAGAGAGCCAGCTTCAGGTTTCAGAGAATTCCGACTGAATCGATCTAGATGCGGCATATATAGTTGGAAATGTTTTCGCAGGCTGATGTTTCGCGCGTCTGCGTTTCGCTCATGGTGCGAGGTAAGTGACGCACGAGGCAGAGACGGACATGGAAACACTACAGGGTCGTTACGATCAACGTACTTACGAAATTTGGTTACTGTGAACGCGAGGCACGCGCTGCAGGCACACATGCCGGTTCCGCGGCTTTTGCCGTGGTGGTGTGCCCATTTCCGACTGCTGTCGCATGCTTTACAGTCCTGTAATGGACTTCGGCGTGGAATCAAGCAGCCTACCGTTGCAAGAGTTTCGGCATTAGGCGCGATTCGAGATCGTGCCCTCGCCACAGTGCAACGCACATTTTGCGGTTCGCATTGTTTTCCGGCTGCAGTCCGAAAAGTTTCTGCCTCCCAAAATTCGTGCTCTCCGCAGTCTTTTTGCGACTCGTATTCTAGCCACTCTTCTTTGGTGCAGTCGTGGGAGCTGACCCGAGCCGATCGCCCAAACCCAGGTTCTGAGCTGCTTGGAGAAGGTGCTGTGGCTGGAAACTGGGGGACAAAAACACTCCATGAGAGTTTTAGAGAGGCTTCGGCTTTCCAAGCTCTGTCAGCTTCTGATCGGTGCCAGGCGACATGAGGCGACGCATGGAAGCCCGAACGGTCCGAAAGTGTTCTTTGCACGGCCGAGCGCCACCAGGCACGGCAGTGGCTTCTGGCGCTCTTTTTAATCGACATCTTCGCAATTGAGCGTCTCGCTGCGGACACCGTGCCCTGGTAGCACAGACTTGGGATCTTTGCAACTTTGGCGAAGCGAATGGCCTCCAGAAGCAGTTCAGCCTCCAGGATTGAATTAATAAAGGAATCTCAGGACTTCGGCACCTATAGAACTCTCTTGTAACCTGTTGGGTGTGGACTGAGAACCACTGTGACTGACTCTCGCACTCCGTGGTCTTGGTCACCGAGGTTACCTGCAATTCGGCTGCCAGCGCCTGCGCAGCTCGGCTTAGCGAAGGCTCTGTCACGGTGCACCGGTGCGAAAAGCACGTTGTGTTGGGGGGAGGACTTGGGGCTGGACAAACTGAACATCCGCATCATGACTGGCACGAGAGCCTTCGCACTGTGAGCCCAAACGGCCCTCATTTCTACCTTTAACTCTTACCTGTAATACTTGCAAATTCATATCCCCTCGTAGCGAATTTATCATGCAAAGGTAAGGCAGGAACGTGTGCATGCTCTTGCACAATCAAAACCGCATGAACGAAACCAGCACACACAGATTTTATTACATTCGATTCTCTCGTTGTGGTTATTTCTGTCGTTCCACTTCGGTCTATCTGATTATTCAAAACCCAGCGGCTCGTGCTCAAGCTGATGCCCAAGGAAAAGGCCGTGGAGTGGGAGTTTGCGCACCAGCTGCTCCTTCATGCCCGCCGTGGCTCCATCGAGACAGATGCCGGGGTCTTTGCGGTTTTTTGTGGTGGAGAGAGTTGCAAGATCTCAAGTTCGGGGATTCGGAGACTGGAGACAGGAACTCCGAACCCCTAGAAACCCTGGAGAGCCAAGCGAGATCGAGTCGAGGCCATTGCCTTCAATGCTCTCCTGAGTGCTGTGGAGAAGGCAGGCGATCGCCAGGCCCAGAAGAGTGGGAGGGGGAGAGCAGAAAGAGGGTCTCATCCAAACACGACAGATTTGTTGCCTTCTACTTTCTAGACACAACAGCATCTTCTACCGATTGCGGTCGGCTTGGCCTGCAATGCCGCGGGGACCTGCTTCAGAGCCACGATTCCTTCCGTGCCGCAACATCGCCTGCACACCAATTACATGACTGACTAATGACTCTCGTAGTATATCCGTGGTTTGAAGCAGGGATCTATTTCCTCTTCATTCTTGGCTGTGCCGGGCTGGCAGTGGCGCTGCTCAACATCTCTGAAGCTCGGACTGACAGGTTTCTGATTTCAGAGTCGCGTGCATGTTCAAGCCACGCTTTCAGACGTTGGACTTAGCCGCGGGTTTGAAAAGATGAGGCGTCTTGGGAAAATGGTGTTGTTTTTTGCCAGTTTTTGGCACCTTCGACCTGTGCTTCGATTTTTGAAAGCAGCTGAAGGCATGTTCTTGCCCCACAGATTTTCCCTTCGAGGCCACGGCTGCAGGCAGTCGAAGAGAAGATAAATCGCAGCTGCCGTGCAAGGTAGGCTACAAACCATTTGTTCACGGTGCTCTTGCTTTGCTTTTTGTCGCCACCTTCCCCAAAAATTTAAAGGCTGTGCAGGTCTCAGCTTGTAGCTGGGACAGCTAGGACAGTCGAGTGAGTGGATGTTGATACGGGTGGGAACGCTTAGGCTTGCAGATCTGCGACAGGCTGCCTTGCGAGGGAGCGTGCCTTGGAGAATGTGGCAAGCCGGAAGCCGTTTGAAGCCTTTCATGTAAACGGTTGTACGCTGCAAGACAGCTGCATGTTGTGAACTACAACTTCGCCTCCATGGGAACCAAAGTCGAACGCGAGGCCGTCACCTTTGGATCCATTATGCTCACGTGCGGGAGAAGCTTGCATCTGGGCTGGGACAAGCTACGAAATTCGGATGAGTCACGGATCACAGATCCCTGATCTACCTGCTGAGGGTTGTGTATGCTCGGTTGCAGCCTACTTCATCCTACCAAGCACGCCTTCTCAGTCGACATGGACGCCTGCAGGACAACGGTTGAACAGCGGCAAGTGGACCTAGACCTAGACAGCCTTTTGTCTCGCAGGAGCTTGAGACCGTCTCGGTTAAAAGATCATATCACGCATGCATCTTAGGCAGTGGCAGCAGGCGCAATCGTTGCTCCAATGCATGCAACTGCAACCGGCAGATGTGATGACATGCAATGCTTCGACACTTGGCCTTAAACCGTGTCGCCAATTTGTAGGTCGGTTTTTTTTCGATTTCCAAACCACTCTAAACGCAACCAAGTGCGAGCTGCCTCGATGCAAGGATGGGAACCTACCAGAAATCTGCAGAGTGGCGCCAGACGTTGGCGTTCTTCGCCTCCCTGCGAGATGCTGCGTGCATGATGGACGCGCTCGGGCAGAGAGATGGATGTTGAGCACCTATTTGAGCGTTCTTGCTTGGCCTCGCCGTTTTGTGGCGGCATGGGCTTGAACATGATCTGTCTGCACGGTTTGTGAGCGCCCACAGGGCTCATTTTGAAGGTTTTCCAGTTTGCTGTACTTGTGCGATCCTAAGGCATGGAGCTTCTCTGCCGCCAGTGCGGCCTGTGAGGCGCGGGCCGCATCGGAGAGTCGCAGATTTGGAGAGACCCAGAGAACCCAATACCCCTTAAATAAGGAAAAGATACCTTAAATTATATAGGGGCCTTAATATTATATGAATTAAGGTATGGATTCCTTAATTGAGGGGTTAGTTGGGCTTTCCGGGGACCGCCCCAGACTCGACGAGGTGGGCGGCTGCTCGGGCACCCAGCTCCACATCCTCGAGGAAGCTGAGGCCCGGCCTGCCACAGGGCCCTCCCTTGGCTTCAGAGAGCGAGGGACGTACTGGGACCCCAGAGAGCCCAATATGCCCCTTAAGTTAAGGAATATAGAGCTTAAATCATAACATATTAAGAGGGGTTTTTCGGGCTCTCTGGGCAGAGTGAGGGACGTACTAGGAGATGCCCGCTTTCAAGCTTTCAAACTTCCCGGAAGACAGTGCTCTCCGATCCGGCGGTGACATTCCAACCTGCCGCCGCTAGGAAAGTAATGCGTTTTGCAACCTGCCCCGCAAATGCATGGCACGAGAGGTAAACGGCTTTTCGGATCTGAATTGCTGCAGCTTCAGAGCACCATCCCGAGGCGACGGCAGTTGGCTGCTTCGATCCGCTTGGAGGAGAAAAAACAACCACCTCCATGTTTCCTTCATACGGGAGACGGCAGCAATCAGTGTAAACATTCGGGCCACCTGGCCCACACCCTCAACTTGCTGCCAACAGGCATGTACGATTCTACAAGCTTCTGCACGTGTCAAGTGGAATCCACCAGCAAGAGGGACAGAATCAAGTGCTGGTTGAAAGCAGCACAGCAGTTGTTGGGAATTTGTATGGCACCTGTGCTTCAGACCTTCGCAGGGAAGCGAGACTTGTCTCCAGAGTGCCGCAAGCAGCACTCCTTCGGTACCTGCAAGAGCCAGCATCGTGGGCTACCAAGGCAAGGACAAGGCGAAAGACAAAGACCGGGACAAGGACTGGAAAACCCGTTGCACTCGGGCGTCCTGCGGGTGCCTCGTGATATTCGGCACTGCAAGGCTTTGCTTGAGGATAGGTTTCAACAATGTCTCGGTCCCGTTCATGTGAATGCAGGTGGCTTGGTTTCAGTTACTTGGGCTGCAGCCAGGACCGGGACAGAGATCGCGACCGAGATCGAGACAAGGTTCCAGACCACACCGATGGGTTCTCAATCGTGCAGCTGATGTTATAGCTCTTGAAGCCGGTTTCACTAGCTTGCCATATACTTCCTCTGGTACATGCCGGAGTGTGTCTGCCGCGCCCGCCACGTAGGCACTAGTCAGGCCGCTTCTGCTGGCTCCACAGTCAATCCGAAGTTTTGTAGCGACCTCATGCATCCTAAGAGTCGCAGAAGGCCAGCTCTTCAGTCCTCGAGTAGTCTGTTCAACCCAAGAGTGCGGGTGTCCGACAGAGGTGTACAATGCTGCTCCCCCTTAGGTCTACGCAAAGCCCTCCGCACGACATTGCCGCCAGGACAGAGATCGAGACAAGAAAGATCGAAAAGAGAAGGCTCGGGTATCGTGACATCTCAACAACGGCTGTCACCTTTCCATCAGTACTGGTTACTCCTGGCCCCAAGGGAAAGTTGGGATCTACAGAGGGACCTCAAAATGAACCTGTCCATGCTTAGCACTGGCATGAGGAGCCTGAATGCTTCGGAAAGCTAGCATTGAGTCTGAACTATCTTAGGGCCGTCGTAACTTTGTCCGAGGACATGCTGCACACTCTGGGCAAAGTAGCGGTTTGCTTGGGGTCTTACGCTTCAGTCGATTCATCGCATCACAGGACTAACTCTCTCCCAGACCAGTTCATCCCCGGGCCATAGGCCCCAGGGGGCCAAGGTCCTACTCCCCCCTTGTCATTTCTGACACCGAACCACCTTTTTTGCTTTCTTCCTGTCTCTGTCTACGTGAGTTTGTCTAGTTACTAGTTGTATCTGCGTGTCGTTTTGGCCGGTTTATTGTCTCAGGAGCTGCCCGAAACACAAGGGGCTAAAGCCAGTCTTGGAAACCCGCGAACTCTATGGATGAAAGCATGTACAGGAGAAGGAGCGTAGCCGCGAACGCGGAGACAAGGTGCCGTAGTCAGTCGTGCCGAAGTGTGTGCCGTGACTCACCCCAGCATCCGGCGCTTGGGGATAAACTCTTGAGCTTCGGAGTTGCACCGATCTGGCTTGGGACGGTCGGGGAGTCGGGGTCTGAGGACTGAACACGTCTGAAGTTATCTCGATCGCTGGGTCAATGCTCAAGCTAGTGACTCAGTCTCGTCGCAGGATAAGGACCGCAAGAAGGACAAAGAGAAGAAAGAGAAAGACAAAGACAAAGACAAGAAGGACAGTGACCTCCGCAACGCTGAGCATTTTTCAGGTGAAGCCCTTGGCAGGACATGGCCTCAGTCCTCCAACCGTAAATAATATTTCGGACCGACGTCTCGAGTTCGGGCCGCATCGGAAGCACCCAGCCCGCATGCCAAATCTCCCAGCCGGTATTGGCCAACGAATGTTAC